TTGTCTCCCAGGCTGGGTGCTTGTGGTCGGGTTCCCGGCTGGCTTGTTTCCCACTTCCTTCATTTGTCTCCCAGGCTGGGCACTTCCTTTCATTTGTCTCCCACTTCTTTTCACTTGTCTCCCAGTTCTTTTCATTTGTCTCCCACGCTTGTGGTCGGGTTCCCGGCTGGCTTGTCTCCGACTTCCTTTCATTTGTCTCCCACTTCTTTTCAACTGTCTCCCACTTCTTTTCATTGTCTCCCAGGCTGAGTGCTTCTGGTCGGGTTCGCGCCCTTTTCCGCTGGCCATCTGGTGTCCGCCCTTTTCCGCTGATGTGCGCCCTTTTCCGCTGGCCATGTAGCATTTCTATTCGTTTGTCTCCCAGGTCTCTCACTGCTGGTGTTCGCCCTTTTCCGCTGGCCATGTAGCATTTCTATTCATTTGTCTGGTGGTGTCCGCCCTTTTCCGTCGGCCATGCAGCATTTCTATTCATTAGTCTCCCAGGTCTGTCGCTGTTGGTGTCCGCCGTTTTCCGCTGGCGATGCAACATTTCTATTCATTTGTTTTTCAGGTTTGTCACTGCTGGTGTCCGCCCTTTTCCGCTGGCCATGCAGCATTTCTATTCATGTGTTTCGCGGATCTGTCACTGCTGGTGTCCGCCCTTTTCTGCTGGCCATGTAGCATTTTTATTCATTTGTCTACCACATCTCTTTTGGCCATGTAGCATTTCTATTCATTTGTCTCCCATGTGATTTCTTTCTTTTTGTCTTTCAGGTTTGGTGCCTGCGCTGGTGTTTTCTGCCCTGTCCGCTGGAACAGGTTCACCTGTGAAAGGTTCTTGCTCCTTTGAAATGGGTGCGTGACTGTCTCCGGGGTTGCATTCCTGCCGCAGTGTGTAACTCTCTCAGCTTTGTTTTCCTTTTCGGGCAAGCGTTGGATGAATGACCGGATTGGATTTCGGCGGCGTGGCAGCGATCTCTCTGTTCAGTTGGGACGGAGGGCATACGTCAGGCACCAAAAATCAATTTCATGTCACATCCTTCGCTCCTCACGCTTTTGTTTCTTGTCCTCACGTGGTCAGCTCCCCGCTGATTGAGCAGCATGACCAGCATCATGTTCGCACTTGAAGAATAATTCCCCAAAAGGTTTAGGGCTTCTCAATTCTTTTCTTAAGATATGTCCGCCTGCTCTGTACGGCTGTGTCCGTCTCTGCCTTGCAACCCTTTACATTTGTCTCCCAGCTCTGGGCTGCTGTGGCCGCCTCTGCCTTGCGCAATCCTTTGCCCAAGCTCTAGTTTCGATGTTGAAAAACACAAACTGTTTGGGGTCTACGGTGGTGTAATTCTTTCATTGCAGTGACCGACAGCAAGTCATTTTATGACTCCTTGAAGAACGAGTCTTGTCCTGCCCTGCTGCCCAATTCTGTGATGCAAAAAGTTGCCATCGAGATCATCAGATGGATTCATACCAGAACCATGTTGTCTGATGCATTTACAACAGATAGTGCGGCAGACTATGTGGGGTATGTCATGCAGAGGGGCCAGTGGATTATCCTTAGAAGAAGGCGTAGCGCTTCAGGGGACACTGCTTAAGTGGTTTCGATAAGAATGTGGGACGGGTGTGAAAGCGAGGTCACCGGTCGAGACCAACTACCACACGGATTCTTGCATGCACACGCACATATATGTATATATATATATATATGTTTTTTTTTCATTTACGTACACATATACTTATATAGATAGACATGTTGCATGAGTACCTCTTTTGCCCCTGTTTGAGTCGATGCATCCATCCTTTGCAACGTGTATCAGCAGTGTTTCCACCGGCCCGACTATAACGGTTAGAGAGTTTATTTTTGCAGCCAGACAGAGTATTTTCGTCGTTTGGAGTTTGTGAAGATGTTCCTCGAGAAACGATTTTTTTGTGACAAACTTTAATCAATGTTCCCTGATTATGTGTTCCAGGCCAGCCGTGTAGTGGCATTTCCTCGAAGGACTGTGACTTTGTTGATGTGAGCCTTGCCACCTGGCCCTGAAAGGCAGTCAGGGACAGTGCTGCGCGTCCCGACTGAAACCCTACAAACTTTAGGGATAGCAACGTTGAAGCTGAACTGAGGAGGGGGGCATTTTTGTGGTCAGTGGCACTTTCAGCAGTCCCCACAGGCCACCATCTATATCTGTTGGCCAAATCAACGTACTACATTTGCTACGACATGTTTGAAATAATTTGTTGACAGTCATCAATGATCACAACCCAAAGCGGCATCTTTGCCATGGAGTCCTATTTAGGACAGAGGACGGGGACTAAAATCCACAAATACGCAAGAACCGCGCTGCTCAGGTTGATGGTTGGACTCTACCATTTCGGCTCACCATTTCGGGAGAATGCAGTGGACCCAACAATGCGCATCCTTCGGAGATTGACTGTTCAGGCCAAACACCGATCTCGTTTCCGAAGGCCGTTGGATTTGGTGCACCAGCTTCTTGAGGCCCTTGTGATTCCATGCAGGAAAGAGTCCAAGAGTTGGTGGGGAACCTTTTGCACGGTAGGTTTGAACATGTGTCTTTGCCCACAGGCTGAGCCATTCTCGAATCTCTGTGTAATTGGAGTCAGGCCTCTCCTTGGATCAGTGCCCAAAGGATGAGGTCTTGGGCAACCAGAAGTATGAGTCTTGGCACATAAGAATCGCTACCACCGGTGATACCTGTAGTTGATGCTTGGCGTGACACCCCAATGTACAAATCCACCAAGACAAGCTGAGCTTCGCGCGACACATCGATGTTTGGTCACTGAGAGAGGACGACACATCGATGTCTTCTCTTATTTTGATCACTTTTGTGTTGAACCTCCGGGGATGAGAGCTCACACAATGAGAACGGAGACACAAAACTTCATGGGTGGAACCCTTAAGAACCCTAGTTTAGTCCATTTACGTGCTGCAAGCGTCTTCAAGCACCGAGAACATGCAAGCCCACTACCGCGGTTATGGCAGCGTGGCTGGGTGTTACAGCCCGTGTCTCAAATTGACGGACCCAAAGTGGAACAATACTGCCTCGAAAGGCGTGAGGGAGGGGAGAACTGGGGGTAGTGGGGAGAGAGGAGGCAGAGAGTGAAGAGATATTGATTGAACAATTCGTTTAATAATTATGACAGCCTCGAATTGTTTTGAGTTGATTGTGATTGTGATCACAAGGCAATTTTGATGATGTCAACACAGAGAAAGGCAACAACCACATTGATTCTGTCCACGCTCCCGGTCAGCTTTTTACTCCACGCCCTTGGTCTGGTTGTGCATGAGATTCCTCAGCGCTGAGGGTGCTACACGCTGTGCAGCATTGGCCTTTGCTGAAACAAGTGTCGCTTGTGGCTCTGCAGATAGGACATCTAGATGAACACAGCCGACTGATACAAGACGTCCCACAAGGAAGATTCTTGAAGGAGACGAAGGTGTCGAAACACAGCAGCATTCTTCTCAAGCACATAGAAGCACAACAGTTTCTCGAGACGCAAAAGGTTTTGGGAAGGTTATAGTTATAGTACGATGCGACCAGCATTTGCTGGGTGTTGCTGCATGCAGTGGAGCATAGGCTTTCATTTAAGGAAGCATCAGGAAGACAAACCCTTGAGCCAACACAAGATCCAGGAATCAAGAACAACCGCGTGTGCCCGCAAGGAGCATCTGATGTTTCATCAGTTTCCTGAACGAAATTCAGACGCATATTCACCATACTCTGCAAGCCCAGCAATTCGCAACTTATTTTATTCACGTCGCTTCGCGACGGTAACCGCCCGCACCGCATGGAAGGGGCCAATATTTCCACCGAACATAGCCCCGGAAGTGCCCCCCCCCTCCCCAACGTGGCCGAGCATAGATTCCATGTTTCGAGATAGGGATGGCCCAACGTGTCAGGCAATATGAAAGCTATGTTTGGCCACGTTAGGGGGTGTTTTTTATTCCAGTTTACGACGTTCAAGTCCCTATCTCGCAGACACTACCTTTAGATAGTGACTTCTAGGGCTATGTTAGGCTATCTTCACTCTCCAGTCCCTTTTGAGCCTTCGTTGGGCCATGGTTACGACGTTCAAGTACCTATCTCGGGGAAGCATACTTGAGATAGTG